GAACTGGGATTGGGGGGGGGGGGCTGCAAACTGAACATACCAAGCATTTCAAAGGGAAGTAAACAGGAACAACTTCGCTCACCTGATCCCACTCTCTCCGGTACTTGTCCACGATCCAAGTAGAATCGTAGCGACCTTGGTTGATGCTTAAGTTCGCATCCGCAGTGAACGGACTATCGCCAGTGTTACTTTCAAACGCACCACCTCGTACGGCACCAGTCCCATCCTGGATAATTGCAATTTTTTCCTGTTGAACAACAGAAGACACTATTTATTGATAAATTCTGTGCGGAAGAAGTAAACCACAGGTTGTCCCACCACAGGTTGTTATAAGTGGCGATCTAGAACTGCATGCTTATTGAAAATTTAGCAGTTGAGACAACAACCCGCTAAATTTTCGGCCTTATGTGGCTACTAATCCTATTCGTTTACCACCGCCATCCAGTGGCAATGAATATAGCTCCCCAGCCTTGATTTCAAAAGGCATTGCACCCGATTGCTCAAGTGCCTATAAACGACATCGGATGATACACAGGCGAAATGGTGTCCTATAACACAACCAATACGAATAAAAACACTCGCACAGTATGCCAGTCACGATGAGCGAGCACTCAACACGTCGCCTACGAGCGGAATGTGCCAACGAAGCTTCGAACGAATCAGGTGGGTCGTGCGTGAGGCACCCCACATGACAACTCTACTTCACCGTGTGCAAGAGGTGACAACTAAAACAGCACACATAAGCTAGTTGACGAAGAACGACAAAAGACGGAAACGATCACGGATTGGAGAATTCGGCTCGAATAAGAGAGATACACAGACAGAGGTAAGGAAATAGGTGCGGAATGTGAATTCCACGGGTATCCAAGTGAAATTCCGTCACAACAACTCAAAGACAGGTTTAGTTTCATTGGATCTCGGGGGGAATGTGAGTTTCGACCAAGAAAACTGTTCAGGAACTGGGATTCCAGACCTAAGTATCATACTGATGGCGATGGCTAAACCCATGTAACCTTGCAGCAATCACGTGGCATCGCGCCACTTCATTATCATCATACGTAGCAATACGCAATTAGTGAATACCGACGACAAACAACCGTACAATCATGGCAAGCGGGAGAAAATGGAGTAGGCGGAGCTTATTGTAAGAAATCCATGCACCCAAAAAGTGGTCGACAGAAAGGTGCGTACGCTTTTTTGAAACGTGCCGGACTAAGATTATCTGTGAATTGAATAAGATGACATAAACCAGATCGACCCAAAATGCTTCACGGACCTCAATCAATACAAGCCTCACGGGCAAAGATAGATAGACTTAGGCTAAACAATATGGATAAGAACTGACGACAGGCTCAAGAGATCGGTTAGGTGCCATGCCCACGGGTACACTTTAGACAGAAAGCAGCTAACACACGAACCTCGTCTTGAAGATGGAAGGTTGGGGTGCGTGTTGATATTGTATGATGCATTTAGTTCTCTTTGAACCTCATTGATCAAAATTTACATAAGTGAGGTGGCAAAGTGCTGACGACCAGTTGCGTCTTGTCCCCGTTTCTGTTACACTCCAGTCACAGAATTGTACAATTTGAACATACAAAGACACTCAGAAGTCCAAAGGCTGAACCAAGTCCCTATGAGTACCGTAGGCAGAACAGTAGAAAAACAGTGACAGCTTTGAAACAAGAAAGGGATACTTTCGAACTAACGGTCGGCTGGTTGGGAAACCGGTCACATGTCACGTATTCATATCTGGTCCTGGTGAAGGTGGTGTATAGCCTAACCACTGGTTTCTTCGGACTGTCAATTGCCCAACTGCCAGAACGTTTTCACTTGATCCTTGATTTGTAAGTCAGACAGACTTGTCAAACTTTTCATTGTGTGTACTGACTATGTCCTCCTGAATGCTGAGCAAGCATTTACGAACCAATGGACTGCAAAGACCACCTTTTTCACGACTAGACTGGAACGCGGATATGTCGAACATACGAACGAGACAGATGACCCACAACAATATCGTAGCTCACAAGCTAGAAAGCGGGCCAACTGATGAGTTCAAGTAATTCAGAACAGAGAATATCGATCCAAAACGAGCTAAACGGTTTTCTACAGTAGTGTCCACATTAAACGGAATGAACAAAAGGCCCCGCATTGCTGAACTGACATGTCTTTAAGTTTTTACAAACTGTGATCATGCCTCAGAGACCCCTGTGCCGATCAGCCAACGTAAACGGACGGCGCTGGCACCACTGCGATTTTTTTTGGAGGCGGGATGGGGGGTTCTGGATTGGTTTCATGTTTCGATATGAATGAACTTTAAGTCACTGAATCCATTTATGCAGTGATACTGACTGCAGCAAGAAAGCTCGATTAAAAACCATTGAGCGACATATGGCCTAGGTTAGACATGAATCCAGAAGCTCAAGCCTCTCAATGATTAAACATTAAATTCGTGGCAGCTCCAAAATTCCACCTCAGGTTTGGTGATCAAGCATTTAGGATATTTTATGTCCGGGTGTACTGCCACGCGTTTGATAATAGTGTTGCGGAATTCGTGGAGCTACTTTGTAATATTTGCTTGGATTTGACCGACGAATGAGTGGAGTCACTGAATCTCCAGGAAAGTTCAAGAAGACTCGTTCGGGAGAAGATCGGTGTCTAGTTTTTGTAACTAAGATGCAGATTAAAGTTTTGCTTGCCTGTTCAATGGTCTGTAACCGGTCAGTTGGCATTTCCTAATAAATAACTCCGCAGCGAAGGCCTTCTTCCTTTCATTTGGTGCCGCGGCCAGGATAAGGATGAGGATACCGTGGCCTCAACCTTTTGAGGATGGGGATGTTCGGACCTTCCCGGAGGACTTTGAGGAGGTTGCAGAGGCTGCCGGGCTGGAGACCGACCAGGGTAAGTTGGCAACGCTGAAGACCCTCCTCAGGGGCCGGGCGAAGGCGGCCCTGGATGCGGCCAAAAGAGGTCCTCAGAAGATGGACTGGGCTGCCGCGAAGGAAGTCCTTGCAGCGGAGTTCGACACACCGGCCGACCGCCAGGATGCTATGAAGCGGTTCAAGACGGCCAGGATGGAACCCGGATCTGACCCGACCGTGTTCTTCGCCGGCCTGCAGCAGTTGTTGGATCGCGCTTTGCCCACACTGGACGGAGTGTCGCGACACCAGCTGCTGTCGGATCAGTTCGTCGAAGGTGTGCAGCCGACGCTTGGTGCCCAGTTGCGGTTGGCACGAGCAACTGGCTAGATGAGTGTGGAGGAGCTGGTGCATCTGGCCCGGGAGCTGCCCGAGGCACCACTGGCCACGTTGCAGTCGCAGAAGAAGAGGGATGGTTCATCAGTGGAGGAACTGCAGACCAGGGTGGACCAACTCACCGAACAGCTGACAGTCGTGAGGACGGAATCGCGGAGGCACGCTCGAACCAGCCGGTGCTGCATGTGTGGCAAGCCTGGCCACTGGAGGAATCAGTGTCCCCGTAACGGATCACTTGTACACAATAAACCTTTAGAGTACTCCTCTTTTCCTGGGTGGGTCGCGATTAGCGCACTGACACAAGCTACCATACAAGCCATTGTCGAGATAGACGGAAAAAAGGAGTTATGTTTGATTGATACGGGAGCAGGCGTATCGCTGAGGCAAAGAGGGAACCAAGCTGAACGCAGACCGTGCGCGCTAGCCGTGAGAGCTGTTGGTGGATATCGACTGAAGATTGACTGATTGTCAACGCACTCGATACGCTTAGGCGACAAGTCGGTGCAGCACGTGTTCGAGATCAGCCCAGACGTAGAGAAGACAATATCGGGAGCTGATATTCTCAAGGGCACAGATTCCGTGATTGACCTAAAGCAGGGAAGGCTGGTGACAAAGTACGGCGCAATCAAGCTTGAAGGTTATCCAGGCACTGTCGTGAGGGAGCTGTGTGTCCGAAAACTTCCGTCTTGTAATGTATCGTCAATACGTGACGTGGCTGAGGAATATTCAGAACTGCTCACGGGCGATGAGGATCCGTTTGGCTTCTACCCGTGGATTGAACACGAAATTCCTCCTTCATCAGAACGCTTTCGACCGCCCCCCGTCCGTTGCCGCTCCATCTACGGGAGGAGGTCCATAGACAGATTCAAGAGATGTTGAAGAAT